ACACACAAACAAGTCTTACTTAGCCATAAAAAAATGAGATCTTGCCATTTGCAGCAACATGGACAGACCTAGAATATGCTATGTGAAAAGAGAGAAAGACAAATACTATATGATTTCACTTAAATGTGGAATCTAAAAAGTAAGGCAAACATTCTTAAATATAGAGCACAAACTAACGGCTGTGGGGGTGAGGAGACAGGAAAAATATAAGACAGAGATTAAGAGGTATACTTACAAACCTCCAGGTATAACATAAGTCACAGAGATGGAAATATATAGTCAATAATATTGTAACAACAGGAGCGGATGGGTGGCTCAGCTGATTAAGCATCTGCCTTCAGCTCAGGTCATGGGATGGAGTCCTGAGTCGGCTCCCTGCTCAGTTAGGGAGTCTGCTTATCCCTCTCCCTCTGCCCTTCCCCCAGCCCCGTTTGTGCGCTCTCTTTCTCTTAAATAAATAAAATCTTTTAAAAAATATTTTAACTGTAACTACACTTAATCAGTGAGCACTGAGTTCTGTATAGAATTGTCAAATCAGGGGCAGCCCGGGTGGCTCAGCAGTTTAGCGCAGCCTTCGGCCCAAGGCATGATCCTGGAGACCTGGGATCGAGTCCCACATCAGGCTCCCTGCATGGAGCCTGCTTCTCCTTCTGCCTGTGTCTCTGCCCCTCTTTCTCCCTCTCTGTGTGTTTCTCATGAATAAATAAATAAAATCTTAAAAAAAAAAAGAATTGTCAAATCAACATGTTGTACACTTCAAACTAATGTAACATTGTATATCAATTATACTTCAATTAAAAAAAGGAGAAAAATGCCTTTCTTACTCTGATTTTTAATAAAGAGAATATTTACCATATAACAGTCGATTTCTTTCATTAGAACTATATAGAGCTAGAAAGAAACTTTTAGATCATCTAGCCAACTAATCTATTTTACACTTCGTATGTAGCATACTGTATTTTTCAAAGACGTCCATGCCATTTTATGCCACACACTCTTTTTATGCTCCTCCATCAGAGGTAGGGACTATGTTCCCTTCACTTAAATCCAGGTGGACCTATGACTTTGGTGGTAGTACTGTAACCTTTAAGGTAAGACCATAAAATACATATTCCTTCAGCTTTCTTTCATAAAGCAGGTATCTTGGGAGCCCTGAGCCAATATGTGAGATATCTCTAGTCTTAAACCAACACACTAGAGAAGTATATAGAGAGACAACTGAGAAAGTGAGAAAGCGAGTGAGTGAGAGAGAATGAGAGTGCTGAAGAATTTTCTTAATTTAGTTAGACTTATCAGTGAGGCACATATAGCTATTTAGATTTCAATTAATTAAAACTAAAATCTAAAAATCTATTTTTTCAACCACAAAAGCGATTATTATTATTATATTTCAAGTGCTCAATAGCCTTATGTGGCTAGTTTCTACTGCACTGGACTGTTTCTACTACAAACTGTTTCTATCATTGTAAAACATTCCAGGGAATAGTGCTGCTTCAGATAACTCCAGTCCTTAGCCTTCAAGCTGCCTTAGTGTTGTGTGGTGAGTTACCCACTGAACCTTGCAGAATGCAAACTTGTGGGCAAAATCAACATTGTTTTCAGCCACTGATTGTTGGGGTGGTTTGTTACATAGCATAGTAAGAGGAGTAAGAGGAAAATAAAGCTCAGGATGTGAAATAATCTGCTGGAGTTTTCAAGACCATAAAATGAGTCAAATGGTGGAACTCATTACATTTTACTTCAATGTCCACTGTTTGTGAATAAATGAACAAGAAAATCCCCAATTCTGGAGCCTATGATATGTTTAACTTCAAACACTCTGCCACTATGCACCAGAATTATTGTCTCTACCACTTCAGAAAAAGATCTGATGATTCCTGGCTCTAAAGGAACAATAGGAACCTAAGAAATGTCAGCATCACCGAATTAATGGTAAAGCTAAAGTCTTAGCTTCTTTCCAATGAATTTACTAGAGTCACCATTTAACAAGTGAAGCTCAATTTTCCAGTTTTTACACTCATTTTTAAGATTTTATTTATTAGACAGAGGGAGAGAGAGAGAACGTGCACAAGTAGGCAAGTGGCAGGCACGGGGAGAAGGAGAAGGAGAAGGAGACTCTGAGCAGAGAGCCTGACAAGGGACACCACCTGAATCAAAGGCAGATGCTCAACTGAATGAGCCACCCAAGTGCCCCTACATGTTTTTAAATTTAAAAACAAAAGAAACAAGCCAAAAACTTTTAAGAGTATTTATCAATATTAACCAAAAGCTATCTTTAAAATATTCCTTTACCAAGCAAGTTATTTTAAGAAAATCCAATTTTAATTATTCAAACTAACAGAAATTACAGATTTGGAGAGTCAAAAATAATTTAGGATTTAAGTGAAATTCCACCTGAACATGAATACAGCAACTGTTGCTATATTTGCAACTTTATTTCTAATAATAAGAAATTACATTGAAACAACGTGGGAAGTGACTCGGCTTCCCCATCAGACCAGAGCACAAAGCTGGGCTTCATGTACAGACTTCAAAATTTTCTGCCAGCATGAGCCTAAGCAAACATGCCATATCAAAACTTTCATGTATAAAATTAGATGATATTTAAAATTACTGTTAATTCTTTCTTTCTTTTTTTTTAAGTAATCTCTACACCAATGCGGGGCTCAAATACACAACCTTGAGATCAAGAGTCTCATGCTCTTCCAACACAGCTAGCCAGGCACCCCTAAAATTGCTAATAGCTGTGTTTCAGAGTTCTTATCTTTAAGATGTATATATTAGAATTGTGATAAAACAATATCAGCAATTTGCCTGAAATTAAAACGTATCTGGGGTGAGCAGCGCAGAGGAACAGAGTTGAAATATGGGTGGTCCGGAATTAATGATTGCTGGAACTGCCCTTCACTATACTCCTCTCTTCTACTTATTCTTAAAGATGTCCACGGTGGAAAAAAAATAAAAACAAACCAACCAACAAACTTCCCTATTTTAATGTTTTGGTTTGAAATGCAGAGTTAGGGTAAAGAGAGCATGAGATGGTGGCAAACTACTAGATAAAGGTCAGGCTTCCTAGGATCTCGACTATTAAATGAGAAGGACCAAAATGTCCAAAATAAATACAAAATGCCTCAACTCTATAAAAATCATTATCACTTCTAATACACACACACAACTGCTCTATGTCAGGCTTATAGCCAAGAGGTAGCTGACTCATACCTTACACTGAATTCTAATGTGTGTAGTTACCAAATTTCTTAGCCAACAGCTAAAAACTAATAAATACAGACACACAAAAGGCGCAAGACTGTTGATGGTCTAACACGATGAGAAAAGAAAACAGCTCTGTAAGATGTGAAGTTCACCACTAATTAACACAACTTTATGGCGTAATAACCAGTATGTTAGGTAGAAACGCCACAGGCTTTGGAGTCAAAGACCTCGTTCTAAAGTCAATCAGTAGCTATATGAACCTGACCAAACTACTTACCCTCCCTTTTTCTTCAGAAAAGTGAGAATGGTAACTAAGCTTATCCTGATGACTGAAAGAGAGAAAATTGTCAAGTATTTTGGAAGAAGATTCTCCACAATCTCAGCCAATTTGCCTGCAACCTTGTGAGAGACCCCGAGCCAGAAGCACCCAGCTCAACTGCTCCTAGACTCTCAACCCTCACACACCACATGACATAAATGTTTACTGCATTAAGTAGCTACATTTGGGATAGCCTGTTGCACAGAATACACAACTGTTACATTATATAAGGGAACAATATGACTATTATCTGATTAGCTAAAAAAATTTTTTTTAAGATTTTATTTATTTATTCATGAGAGACAGAGAGAGAGAAAGGCAGAGACACAGGCAGAGGGAGAAGCAGGCTCCATGCAGGGAGCCCAATGTGGGACTCGATCTTGGATCTCCAGGATCACGCCCTGGGCTAAAGTCGGCGCTAAACCGCTGAGCCACCCAGGCTGCCCTAAAATTTGTTATTATTAGTTTCAGAGGTAGAATTCAGTGATTCATCAGTCTTGTATAACTCCCAGTGCTCATGATATCACATGCCCTCCTTAATGCCCATCACACAGTTACCCCGTACCTCCCACCCCATAGCCTCAAGCAACCCTCACTTTGTTTCCTAAGATTAAGAGTCTCTTATGGTTTATCTCCCTCTCCGGTTTCATCTTGTTTTATTCTTTTCCTCCCTTCCCCTCTGATCCTGTTTTGTTTCTTAAATTCCACATATGAGTGAGATCATATGATAATTGTCTTTCTCAGACTGACTTATTTCACTCAGCATAATATCCTCTAGTTCCATCCACATCGTTAAAGGTGCCCCTTCGCATCACTGCATTTGTATGTATACATTTATACACACTATTTCTATCTTTGGGGTAAATACTTAGTAGTGCAATTGCTGGATCACAGGGAAGCTCTATTTTCAACTTTTTGAGGAACCTCCATACTGTTTTCCACAATAACTGCATCAATTTGCATTCCCACCAACAGTTAAGAGTGTTGCCCCTCTCCCTGCATCCTTAGGATAGCTGTCGTTTCCTGACTTGTTAATTTCAGCCATTCTCACCGGTGTGAGGTGGTATCTCATTGTATACCTAAATATTTTTCTAAATATAGTAACTGAGTTTCTTTGGTTTACAAACTAGATAATAAAAGGAAACCTTTTACTTTATCTCAATGGAGTGCTCATCACTTTGCAGTGGCATATTTATGAAGACGGATATTATTTTCAGCACCAAACTTCTTAAATCTGACATTGCATATCTGCAAGAAAACTATGGAGATAAAAACCCAGACCAGCGTGTTGCAGTTCAGTACCTCAGGAGCTGGCCTACCTAATACTCAGGCATATGTGTGTGTGTGTGTGTGTGTGTGTGTATCCGTACATTCACACACACACACACACACACACACACACCCTTTATATAGGCACTCGATATCTGCTCTACATTTTAATAATAATAAAAAGTACGCTTAGTCCTACCTGAATGAGGCATTTGCTCACATCACTGGCACAAAGTGCTTTGTTACAAGTCAGCGACACAGGGACCCATGTCAGGAACACCAGGACAGCTAGAGTAAGCATAACAACAGCGTGTGACTTCATGTTTCTTCAAAGACGGTCAACTTCCCGGAAGCTAAATAAACAAACAAAAGGAAAAACCAAAAAAACTTTAATTCAAAGGCAAGGGCTAGGTTAAGAACAAACAGAAATGAAAAGCAAAATAAATAAACCAATACTCATTGTTTGTGTTAAAAGACTTTTGAGTGATCATTTAAAGGACATTCTCAATGAATGATTAAATCTTCAAACTACACTTTTTATACAGTAGTGTCTTGTCAGCCAACTTCAAATATAAGTATATAAAATATATGTATGCATATATATATGAATCATCAGGTTCCTGAGGCAAATAACTAGTTACAATACTGCACCACTACTATTCAACTTTGGTTGTAGGCCTATTATTCAACTTTAAACTCCTATTTAAAACTATCAATATTGAGGGATGCCTGGGTGGCTCAGCAGTTTAGTGCAGTCTTTGGCCCAGGGTGTGATCTTGGAGACCCAGGATCCAGTCCCATATCGGGCTCCCTGCATGGAGCCTGCTTCTCCCTCTGCCTGTGTCTCTGCCTTTTTCTCTCTGTGTCTCTCACAAATAAATAAAATTTTAAAAAATAAAACTATTAATATTGAATCATAATTTAAAACATCTCACAAAATTTAAAAATGCAAATTAGTCTAATGATTATAACTATCTCATTTTATCTCCTAATATAACTAGGCAGGATGAAGCAGCTTAGGGAAAGGAGTGGGCAGTCATTCCTTAACCCAAGAAATAACAAAGGGAATAGTAAATTGGGGATCCCTGGGTGGCTCCCCAATTGTGGTTTAGCGCCTGCCTTTGGCCCAGGGTGCGATCCTGGAGTCCCAGGATCGAGTCCCCTGTGGGGCTCCTGGCATGGCGCCTGCTTCTCCCTCTGCCTGTGTCTCTACCTCTCTCTCTCTCTCTATGTCTATCATAAATAATAAATAAATTTTTTTTAAAAAAAGGGAATAGTAAATTATTAATTGTATTACGAACTCTTGCGTAATTTATTGAAATGTGAAGATATTCTTCGAATTCTATACCTTAGGTACCATGGATTCCTCAATGTTTGTTTTTAAAGCTCTTATTTATTCATTCATGACACACACACACACAGAGAGAGAGAGAGAGAGAGAGGCAGAGACACAGGCAGAGGGAGAAGCAGGCTCCATGCATCGGGAGCCCGACGTGGGATTCGATCCCGGGATCCGGGATCACGCCCTGGGCCAAAGGTGGCACTAAACCACTGAGCCACCTGGGCTGCCCTATTTTCTTTTCTTTTTTTTTTTTTTTTGTAAGATTTTATTTATTTATTCACGAGAGAGACACACACACACACACACAGAGGCAGAGACACAGGCAGAGGGAGAAGCAGGCTCCGCGCAGGGAGCCCGACGCGGGACTCGATCCCGGGACCCGGGATCACGCCCTGGGCCAAAGGCTGACGCTCAACTGCTGAGCCACCCGGGCGTCCGTCAGTGTTGGTTATTAAGAAGATAGTATATTAATTAGTACACTTTGAAAAAAAGATCAGCACAAATCCTGATAGTTGGTTAAACAGCCTACATGGTTATTTAAGCTTTTTAAAAAGATGTAACGTCTTCAAACGTGGTTTAGAAATACGTAGCAAACCCTCTCCAAAATAGAATCAAGTAAAATAAATGACTACCAGTGTTAGATACATAAAAAGTGAGTTTATACGGCTTTTATGATTACGTAAACTTTGATTCTAAGTATTCTAAAGCACAATAAAGCAAACGCGATACGAAGGCGAAAAGGATACAGGGCTTTGCACCCGGTATGACTCAATTTCGAAAGAGCAAGCCCCGGTGACTGCTACGAGGCCCATAAAGTATTAGTAAAGACCGTTAGGAACCCAGTTTTCTAATTTATTATTTAACTGCACCTAGCAAGTCGGATGATTTCTGGTGCACATTCGTGGAGGCCAAAGAAGGTATTTGAAAAGTGATTTTCTTTTTCCAGAACTAGTTTCCATCCTACACTCACTAAAAATGGGATATTTTTTTCGTCTCTTACGGTAGTCTTCACCCTACTCCCAAAACCCTGCTGGAAAACGTACTCAGGTAAATAATGGCATTTAGAGAGCGACCGGCAGAAGTACGGAAGGGCCTCCCCTCCCCGCGGCTGAGACGCGACACCGCACCGGAACTGCCTAGGCTCGGCGACCCGCGGGCGGTCCCCGGCGGCTCTGACAGCAGCCTCCGTGCGGCGCGACCAGGCGGGGGCCCCGCGGCTCCGCCGCCGCCCCCCGCGCCGCGCCCGCGCCCACCCCCCGCCCCGCGGCGGCCCCCAGCTTTGTCCCGCGCGTAGGCGGGGCCCAGGCCGCGCGGGGGCCGCTCCGCCCCTCCCACCTCCCGAGCCCGCCGCTCCGGGCCCCGGCCCCGCCCGGCCTCCGACGCTGCCCGCCTGCGCCCGCTCACCGTGCGCCGCGGCGCCGCGAGGCCGCCTGGCCCTCGTTCCCCCGCAGGTCGGCCGAGCCCGGGGCGCGCCGCGGGGCCGTGCGACGGAGGGAGGCAGGCCGCGCCTCCAGGCCTCCGCGCCGTCCCCCGGCGCAGCGCCCCAACCCCCGGCACTTAAAGGGACAGGCCCGCCGCCGCCCTCCCCTGTGCCGCGGCCCTCCGCCCGTCTTCAGCTCCCCGCACCCGCCAGCTCCCGCCAGCTCCCGCCAGCTCCCGCCAGCTCCCGCCAGCTCCCACCAGGAGGCGTCTCTCACTCCCGGGGCGCCCCTGTCAGCGCACGCCCCGGCCCCGCCCGCCAGGCCCGGCGCCCCGCCTCTACTCCGACCCCGGCCCCGCCCGCCAGACCCGGAGCCCCGCCTCCCCTCCGGCCCCGCCCACCTCCCCGCCCACCAGGTCCTGCGCCCCGCCTCCACTCCGGACCCGCCCACCGCCCCGCCCACCAGGCCCGCACCCGCCTCCATCCGGCCCGCCCACCAGGCCCTGCGCCCCGCCTCCACTCCGGACCGCCACCGCCCGCTCCATCCGGCCCCGCCCACCGCCCGCCCACCAGGCCCTGCGCCCCGCCTCCACTCCGGACCCGCCCACCGCCCCGCCCATCAGGCCCTGCGCCCCGCCTCCATCCCGGCCCCGCCCACCGCCCCGCCCACCAGGCCCTGCACCCCCCCTCCACTCCGGACCCGCCCACCGCCCGCCCACCGCCCCGCCCACCAGGCCCTGCGCCCCGCCTCCAGCCGGACCCGGCCCCGCCCTCCATGCCCGGCGCCCCGCCTCCACTCCGGCCCTGGCCCCGCCCTCCAGGCCCACCGCCCCGTCTTCACTGCGGTCCCGGCCCCGCGATGGCCCCGCCCCCGGCTTCGGCCCCGCCCCGCCCTCCGGTCACGCCCCACCGAGGCCACTCTCCGGCCCCGGGCACCACGCGCGCTGTGCCGCCGCTCTTTTCCCGCCCGGTCTCGGCTTTTCTTGTCGGCCTGCGCGGGGCTGCGGCCGACCTTGTCCGAGGCCTGTTCTCTGCACTTAGCATGTGCTGCTCCCGGAGCCGAGAGTGGGACGTGCCCGAGCGCAGAGACTCCGCTCGGCAACCCCGGAGGCAGCCGGATCTGTCCCGTCCTGGATTTGTTACAAGTGCAGCAGGTCTCTGGGTTCAGACCCTCCTGGGCAGAGCCTTCGTGCCGCAGTCCGCTAAACTGGCTGCGCCCCTCGTGAGAGCCCGGCGCCGTGCGGGCGCGGCTGGAGGAGCGGGGCGCCCGCCGGGCTGGTGCTGGTCCCCGAGGAGGCCCGGGCTCGGGACGTGCACAGCTGGCTCCAGGCACCACGCCGTCTGGAGGACCGCCCCCCCCCCCCCCCCCCCCCCCCCCCGGCATGTGTGACGCAGCACGCTTTTCGGCCTGTGCTTCACAAAAATAGGTAACGCCGATAAGGGCCCTTGAGAATTGCGCTCAGTTCTTACCCGCACCCCTGGGAATTTGCATTTTTAAGAGATTTCAGCGTGCTTAAGGTGCAGCCCATCTTGCGAGATGATCCACGAAGTATTTTCCCCTTGGAAATGGTGATCTAGTGATAAACTAGTAATCTTAAATGCCTCACATTCCCCTTTGTTGCTGGGCAGAAAACAGAAAAGATGGAAAGAGGTGATTAGCTGAGGGCGGATTACATTGTCCATTTTTTTTTACAATAAGTAAACATGCATGTTAAAAATCATCCCTGAAAACTATCTTAAAGACATAAAGAGTGTACACAAACTTAAGGATTTTGTTCTTTGGCATTGCTTACTGGTTAGATGAATTACGATACCCCAGTGCAATGAATTAAATCAGCTATTAAAACATGATGAAAACATGTGACGTTCTCACATTTTTGGTCTCAGGACCCCTTTACACTCTTGAAAAGTACTAAGGACACCAAAGAGTTTTTATATGTGCAGTATCTATCAAAATTTTTGAAGTTTAAACTGAGAAATTTAATGGGGCACCTAGGAGATCCTTATTCAGTAGGTCTGAGACAGAACCCAGAAACCTGCGTTTTTAAGAAGTCCATGACGGGACAGATACAGCCCTCGGGGTTGCCGTGGGGAGTCACCGAGCTCGGGCACGTCCCGTTCTTGGCCCCGTGAAGAGCACCACTTACGCCTCCCACTCTTGTTCCAGCCCAGGTCCTGATCTCTGGGCGGTAAGATCAAGCCCCACGTGGGGCTCTGCACTCGGCACCAAGTCAGCTTGAGATTCTTTCCCTCTCCCTCTTCTTTCCCCTCTACTCCTCCCCTCCACTCCTTCACACGCCTGCTCTCTCCCTTAAATAAACAAAATCTTTTTTTTTTTTAAAGAGAAATTTAAGAAATATTTATTCATTGTTTCACTTAAAAATAATGGACTATTGTATGGTAACATGAACAACATTGTATGAAAAATAAGTACATATTGCAAAACAAAGAAATAGAAAAATGGCATTATTTTACATTTGTGCTCTTAAATGTCAAAGTTAATAGAAGGCAGCTGGATTTTTCTATTGGCTTCTGCATTTAAAATGTTGCAATATCATGTATTATGTAGCCTCTAGTAAACTACTCTAAACTTGTGACAGGAGAATTAAAAAGTAAAATAATGTATTAGAATTTAAATAAAAAGAGTTTGGAGTTCATGAACCCCCTGCAAAGGTCTTGGGATTTCCAGGGTCCCCAGATTACACTTTGAGAACTAGTATTGCAGATGAATATTGTTGGTGTGGAAAAATATTCATGATACCTCAACATTTACAAGTAGTGTATATATTTTTAGAATGGTTAATATTAAAAATTGTGTATAGTTATTTTTCCAGTGGAGAAAACTATTCTGTCTCCCAAGGGGCCAGCACTTCAGAGGTTAGGGATTCTGGTTTGGAACCCACAGACAGTCCCATTCTCAGCATCTCTCTACTTGGCTGACTCAACCAAATTAACTGATCTGGTTTTACAGATTTGAAATAAAGTGAGTCACAGCTTATCAGCCTCCCAGCCTGCTCCTGTGGGAGGGTGGATCTGGGGATAGAAGGCTCATTTGAGGAGAAACCTCTTTTCCCCATCACTGCCTTTCTCTTCCATCCTTCCTCCTTGTTCTGTTATGCCTCTACTGCAAAGCTATCTAAAAAATGAAAGAGGGCAGCCCGGGTAGCTCAGCGGTTTAGCACTGCCTTCAGCCCAGGGCCTGGGGGCCTGGGATCGAGTCCCTCGAGTCCCTCGTGGGGACCCCTGCATGGAGCCTGCTTCTCCCTCTGCCTGTGTCTCTGTCTCTCTCTCTCTCTCTCTCTCTCTGTGTGTGTGTGTCTCTCATTAATAAATAAATAAAAACCTTAAAAAAATACTATTAGAAATTGGGTTTTTAGGTGCCTGGGTGGATCACTGGGTTAAGCGTAGTTAAGCATTGGACTCTTGATTTCTGCTCGGGTCATGATTTCAGGGGTTGTAAGATTGGGACCCTCTCCAGCTCTGCGCTCAGCACAGAGTCTGCTAGAAATTCTCTTTCTCCCTCTCCCTGTGACCCTGCCCTCCTCATGTGTGCACATGCCTGCACTCTCTAAATAAATTAATAAATAAAATCTTAAAAAAATTATAAATAGGGCAAGCCTGTTGGGACTCCTCTCACCCCTGAGAGCTTTCTCTGTATCTTTATTTAATAAACTTCTGTCTCTTTACTCAAAATAAATAAATAAATAAATAAATAAATAAATAAATAAATAAATAAAATAATAAATAAAAATAAAGTCCTTTGTCATTCCCTCTGTTATGAATGGTTGTTGACCCACCAGGCAAAAGTAAGAATATTCCTTGGCTTGGGAGTGAGGGAGTAGTGGGTGGGGGGTTGCCCAGGCCCAGCAGACCACTGGGGAAGCCTGCAGATCCCCCCTGCTAGGAGAAGATGTTATTTCAGAAGAGATTTGCAAAGGGTTATCTATCAAGGACTATTGAAATATTTACAAAGCAATCTCAAAAGCCCTTAAGGCTTCCCCAAATTCAATGTTTACATGTGGGTTGCCTACCACATTAGGTCCAAACTCTGTACTTTTTTATTTAAAATATTTATTAATTCATTTTCATTTACCTTTTGTCCCCATCTGATCACAGAAATAGCACATGCCTAGCTGGGGACAATTTTTAAATTACGGAAATTCATAATGATTACTCCTTACCATATTAGCTTGCAGCGACTGCTCCTAGTTTCATGTATATTTCTTCTTTTTTTAGTCATATACACTAACATATGTTTGCAAAAAATGAAATTTGGTTAAGAATACTTCACTATAACTTGCTATTTTCCACTTAGCATATCTAGAACATCTTTTCCTGACAGTATACGCAGATCTTTTTTGATGTCACACAGATCCTCTCCATAAAGCCAAGCTGGTCTATTTTCACACTTCATACTTTTCCAATCTTGTATTTCTGCACATTCTTTTTGCTCAGGACAGGATTCCTACTTTTTTTCTAGCTACATATATCCTACCCACTCTTGCAAGCCTGTTCAGGGCAGCCCGGTGGTTCAGTGGTTTGGCGCTGCCTTCAGCCCAGGGCGTGATCCTGGAGACCCGAGATCAGGTCCCACGTCGGGCTCCCTGCATGGAGCCTGCTTCTCCCTCTCCCTCTGCCTGTGTCTCTGCTCTCTCTCTCCTCTCTCTCTCTCTCTCTCTTCTTCATGAATAAATAAATAAAATCTTTAAGAAAAAAAAAAAGAAAGCCTGTTCAAATATCAACCTATTCAGATATCAAAAGTCATCTTCCATGACTCAACACAGTGCCTGGCACATAGTAAAGTGAATGAATTGATTAAATGAATGACTTCCCTGGCTAAAGTCCCCCATAGCCTCTGAGCTCCTAAAGCATTTATTCGCACTGACATTTCACTATTAATGTATATATGTTTTGTTTCCTCAACTAATTTTAGAAGCTTCTTAAGCACAGAAATCATGTTATTAATGTCTCATTTTGCTATGTGCAGGGATTCTCAGGTTCTTGAAAGATCTACAAAAACTAGGATGGATGGTTTCACCTGTATTAGCCAAAATGACAACAGTAAAGAAGATGTGGAAACAATTCATGAAAAAGGCTGCATGGAGTCAAGAGCTTAATAGTTACTTTAAGAAACTAGGAAAAGAAGAGGCATCTGGGTGGCTTGGTCAGTTAAGTGACTGACTCTAGGTTTTGGATCAGGTCCTGATCTCCTGG